TCCAGCCCCATCCAGCACAGCCCCGTCATGTCCAGAAGCCTCTGTCCTGTTCACACACTTTAGAACCGACAGCAAAAACTGGAAGCCTCCAGTCCTCAGATCTTTGCACAAAGGTGATGTCTTCGGTCAACCCAGTCTTTCAGATTTTTTGGAAATCTGCAAAATGTCCCAAAAACACACAGAGTCAAGTTGTTGATTTGAGTCTGACCTCTGGATGACCCTTTGCATCATTGCTACTGTAGTTGCAGCATTTAGCCGTTGGTTTGGCCTGCTGGTTTGGCTTGGTTTGGCTTGGTTTGGCCTGGTTTGGCCTGCTGATTTGCTGGTTGATGATTGGTGGGGGTGGGAGTGGGCGTCTCCTTCACAGGAATGAACTCTGAGCTTTTTAGCATCAAAAGTGGTGTTTTAGGTGTTTCCCTCAAACAAAACACACAAAGTACACATTTGTTAATACATTTCAGACTTAGTTCAGTAAACCCAAAAGAAAACCTTAGCAGTTAATGAAAACTGTTGCTGAAGACAGTCCTATTACTGTATATTTTCTTGTGTCAGAAATGAAAACATCACAATTAACTATTGAAATAATGTATAACTAGTTATATTCAGAATCAAACAGATTTACATTTCTTTGATGAAAACATTAAACATGCTACAGTAACTTCCCTTACTGTTGAATTTAAACCCTTCAAATGAAACTAAACATAATTATTATTCAAATCTGAAAAATTAAACTGCTTATTTTCAGAGTGTTTTCCACTTATCTGATTGTTCTGAGTCAGCATCAGTCAGAGAGAGAGGACCTCTTAGGCGTCTGATTCGTCGTTCCCATCCACAGCACCCCTGCCGATGCTTCTCCCCCTCCTCCTGCTCCTCTGAGTTACTCCTGCTCCCAGATCTGTCTCTCTGGTTGGAGTGAGGTGAAGCATGTGACCGATGCTGTGCCGGGAACAACCAAACACTGTCCCCAGACGTCCCTCTCTCAGCTGAGACAGAAACAAACTCAGAGACAGAACAAAATATTAGTTGACAATTCTGTTGATTTTACCCTAATATTGTTTCATATTATTTGTGAAATAATATTTTAGTCCTGATGTTTATTCCTATTTTATAGTCCGTTAGTTCAGTCAGTTAAGTCCCAAACATAGAAGACAAACAGTTACATGCAACGCCTGAAGTAACAAACAAATACTACTCACATAAGAGGAAATGTTAGTCTGTTAAATCTTACACATAAAGACATTTACTCACAAAACAAACAAAAACTCCAAATCAAACCCAAAAATAAACATAAAAGTCTACTTGTGTGCACAAAATACCAGCTTTTGTGATCATAAGCAAACAAAAATCAAAAAGTTAGGCTAACTTTGAGTCTTATCTATCATCCATCTAATTCAGCTTCAGCCTAATCCTTTTGAGCTTGTATCAAATGTTGTAACTTTAAAATTGTCCAATCACAAAAATTTCACAGCTCAAGTCAATTCAAATCTATCTATGATTCTCTAATCTCATTAATGTAGCTAGCATTAACAAAAGTAGTTAAACTATAACAAACTTACTACTCCACCCAACTAGAGTTGAGCAGACAGAATTGGGAGCAAGGGAGAAGGGGGAAGAGGGGGAACAGGGAGCAGCAGAAAGGGAGGAGGGGGAAGAGGGGGAAAAGGCAGAAGGGGACACAAGGGATGCACCTCAAACGGGCACGCACGCACACACTCACACTTTAGGCCTTTATATCTAAATTTCAATTTCCAATTTAAATTATTATTTAGAAAAATTGTTGTCTTATTATGCAGGCTACCACAAAGTTCTACCAAAAAGTCACTAATCAGCTGAAGAAAACATCACCACTCTCAAAATGTTCCATTTTCCCTCAAAAATGGCCAGATCTGGTTTTCCAACTACACGTATGCGTCCATAGTGCTGAATTTGTTTTCTCTTCTCTGAGGATGTTTATTCATCCAGTGGATAGAAGTTTCATCTATTCTGTCGCTTTGTTGGTACCGATGAACTAACCAACGGGGACTTTCACCCTTTTAAATTCTCCACTTTCTTAGAAGTGCGAGATATCTCACTGCTCCAATGCTTTTTGAGGAGATAAAATGGATTTCCTGCCTTCAAAGACAATTTAAATTTAGTTTCTTTTTTTAGGAAAAATTAGTTTTACCTTGTCCATGTGGATGTCCAGAAACTCTAGTTCTGCCGTCAACTTCAATCCGGAGACTGGCCATGCCTCAAAGATGGAGTCCTCAAAGCAGTTCTGAATGAAGAAGACCTCACCGTTGCTCCAACTCCATGTTTGAGGCATCCTCAGCTCCGCAGAAAAGCATGTTGGCATCCGGCGCAAGAAGGACCAAAATATGTGAATAACTACTCAGTGTTCTGGACATCACACACATAGACAAGTTACAGACTACAGTCTAGTCTGGGTCTCTGCTGGATGGAAAGCAGCAGAGTGACAAAGAAATGGACCAAGAGCTCTGGTCTTATACCATGATAATTTGAAACACATGCAACAATATGTCCCACCATCCTTAGGTGAAGACAATACCTCCTATGTTCAGAACAAACAAATAGCCCCTCTCAAAGTAAGCCTGAGGCTACTCTAAACAGATGTTCTCTGCGCTCTTCTTAATTTAACTTCCTGTGTTTCATGACTGGGGGATGGGAGAATGCTGCTGATGCGTCCATCACATCCCATCACACACGTAGGTTAACCCGAAGCTGTCTAAACCTTGAATATATTCTAATTCACTTTAATGAAAATCCAACAACTCTACTAACACCGTCTTTTCGCAAGCCGGAGTTTTCTGAGCTGCAGTCCTGGTTAGAGGCGGCGCGGAAGTACAGAGCCACGCACATTAAGCGTCTATCTAGAACGCTGCCAAATTACAACCCAGAGGAGGCTATTGGACAGTTCAGAGTTGTAATTTTTTAATTACCTGTGTGTGTGTGTGTTTGTTTGTGTGTGTGTGTGTGTGTTAATAAAGCTTTCTTTGTATGAACATATTCCTGGAAAATTTTCATTTCTTCTATAAATAATACGAATATTTATATAAATATTATTACATTAATTATGAGGCAGGGTGAACAATAGTGACAGATCTGCCAGCCAATCACGAGAGATTACTTATTTGAAAGTAGTGATTTCATCCAATGGGGAGTAATCCCACGTGGGCTGGCCACGTGTGATTTTTCAGCCAATCACGAGTTTGAAAGTAGTGCTATTCACCAATGCTGAATAGCAGCCTGGCCAGCCGCTGCATTCATATGCTAATTAGGGCCATTAGCGCTCCGCGGTCGCAGTGTTTCGCTGCATTCATATGCAAAGTAGGGACATTAGCATGGTACGGTTACGGCAGTTTGGAGGACAGGGCACCCTAACTGCGGGTTTTGAAAACTGCCTGAGATACCCGAAAAAGAGCGTGATTTCCTGCCGTTTAGGGAGACGAAAATCTAACTTTTCATGCAGTGACATTTGGAGAAGAGTGCTGTTGCTATTACTGTAGCCTGCAACACATTAGATGAAGTGAATTTGTGTAAATGTTGCGGTAGTCATGTGGAGTTAAATGGGGGCTTTTCTGTCTATTCGTTATTCAACCAGGATTAATACACGTATCCACCACAGGAGATATGAAAATACCTGGAGTGAGATTTGACAGTGAGAATCCAGTACACCTTCATCTGGAGAGTTGGACTTCTCTGCATCCATGCTGATCATGTATCAATATGCACTGTCCCTATAACATATAAATAAATGCATAAATGGTTGATTTAGCAATTTTTTCTGAATGAAAAAGTTGAACTAGTTCCTCAGACCGTCGGCCCTATCACCAGTTTTTACATCATAGCCTTTGACACAACAATTTAGATCGCCATTTTCAGGCAGAAAAATTAAAACGAGAGGTTGAGTGAGGGTGGCCTCACTCAATACCTGAAGTGAGATTTGTCAGTGAACCACCCTTTGTGAAATCCAGTATACCCAAAAAGTATACAAAAGAGTCAAGTAGTGACTTGCAGGGCACCTTCTTACAAGTATACAAAAGATTAAATGTTTCATGAGAAAACTGCAAGTCTAATTTCTTCTAAACATTTGACTTTTACAAGACTTGACAAAACCATGACAAAACACAAAACTTGGGTTCCCCTCTTTAATCGTGAGTGAAATCAGTGGGCGTGTAAGATAATGTAAATAACTCAAATGTGCATGATCACCTCCATCACTCAAGCACCTGTGTGTAAAGAAGAAGAAAAATGAGAAACCTATAAATGAGAACTCTACAAAATGCAGCCTGCGGAGGATCAGTCTGGTAGACTACCTGCTGCAGTCCATCCCATCCAAGCCGGCCTCTTTCACCCTTGGTCAATCACACAGCGCTGCCAACTTATGCCAATTAACCTACCAGTTAAAAGCGGAAATTTCCCAACAACTAACCCTTTTCCAGGGAGATCGTTCTGGCGTCACTTTTGTCTACTCACGGCTTGCAATTACCATGTGCCGCTGCCTAGGGTGCCAAACAAACAAACAAATAAATAATCTAATACATTATCTAAACAGATTGAAATGGTCAAAAGTTGTGAAACAAGCTTGGAGCTTAAATTGCAGCCTTTGACCTGCGTCACACACCTGCGCCACACTGCAGAACATCTTCTATGTTCTGCAGTGTGGACCTGAGTCGTCACACATGCAGGAAGTATACTATTTCATTGTATCCACAGAGATGGCCCCACAAGTCACATTTGTTGGAAAAATGTCTAGTTAGCAAATAACCAAAACTACCAATACTTTTCTCTTCACTCTTATGCAATAAACCAGATTGTGATAAAGTTATGCTTCAAGTCATTACTACTATTATCATTTATCAAGTATTTAAGACGTTTCATGTTTCTGTTAATCTTGACATCGCAAAATGACATAGACTGAAGAGCAGGGGTCCGAGGGGTCTTTCCTTTTCGAACAGTGTTTTGGATAACCAGGCTCTTTAACTTTGTGCTTTCACTCCATGTTTGTAGCTGCGTTCCTGTCCAGTTTGGCTCACTACGAAATCGCCGTCCCGATCAGACTGGGTCCCGATGGAGTGCCCCAGGATGCAACCCAGCTGCAGCAGCAGAGGAGACAAAAACGCGGCGCTGAGGACAAGCTTCCCGACACGGTATCTTCTGTCTTATTCTCTTACTAAATTCACAAATAATCAAATGTTACAAGAATGCTAACAATGCTCTGTGTTCTCAGCTCTTCTACCAGCTCTCCACATCCAACAACAACTTCCTGCTGAACCTCACGGTACAGGGGGGGCTGCTGTCCCGCCAGTTCAGGGTGGAGTACTGGAAGAGGGGGCGGCTGGCCTGGAGTCACCCGTACGTCCCCCACTGTCACTACACGGGACATCTGCAGGACCGGCCGCAGTCCAGCACAGTGGCCCTCAGTAACTGTAATGGCCTGGTAAGACTTCCTGTCGCCGTCTCCAAAGTAAAAGTACTGCATCTCCAGCATTGATACTGAAGTATTTGCAAAATCCAAATATTTTATATGAATATGTATTATATATTATACCTCCTCTCTTGAAAATATTTATTATGAGACTGGCAGCTCCAGGATTGGTCAAAACATACCTTTTAAGAAGTTGTTAAGAGTGAGACGGAAGGACAATGAAAATACAAAACGAGCTGTTCTTTGGTTTGGGCAGATTTTATCATGGAAAATTACTGCTAAAGCTATTGAATGTACTCTCATTATGAACTCTGCATAGATTACATTAATATTGATCAAAGTGTATTTGCATTTTATTGCAACAGTGGTTCATCACAGTGGCTAATGGAGGATGAACAAGCTTTTTTTCTAGCTTGTTCGGGCTGAACAAAGTTTGTACGTTTTATGAAGTATGAATTGGCCTTTAGTCCTACTAAATTCCCATTTAAACTCTTTTGTAGGGGTTATTGAAGTCGATATCACACATAACTTAAGTTATTTATTTGATATCGGATAATTGGATCAGAACAATCGTGTAGTAAATACAATAATTGACAATAGCTTTATTTAGGAGCACCAGCGATAATCACAACTGATAATGTGCGTATGACGTCACGTTATCTATTAATTGGCTCATTTATTGATTCTGTAATCATATGAGTCCTTTAATTATTTAATCAGCCAGCTAGCCCAATTCTCTTCAATAGAATCTGAAGGTAATGAATTCTTTTACAAATTAGTGACCCAATTTCTGGAGTTAAATCATTACAAATATCACTTTCAGACAAAGATGGTTTTGTAGATTTAATGCAGTATATACAATACAGATTGAATATGAAATATGCAAATTGTCGAGAATAACATGAAGGAAACATTGATTGCAAGATACATGGTTAAAATGCTATGGCTAAGGTGAGCTACTGTAAGGCTAAAGCAAGGCCTTTGTCCATGAATGGATTGGTAGGCCCGGGCTTGCATGTGTGCAGCCTTGGTAAGAGACTAATGCCGCTTTTCCACAGTAACAGTACGGTACAGTACGGTACGCTTCGGCCAGTGGGGGCTGGTGCAACGCCGAGATACACTGCCTTGACGAGATGCACTGCCTCAGCTGTTTATGATGTAATACAAACCTGCGCATGCGCGTCTCACGGCAGCCGGAGCATACCAAGATGGCGGATCGTGAATTTTAAGAGTCAAAGTTTCGAGCAAAGTTTAGTTTAAGCAGTCAACTGCGCCTGTGAAACCACAAGGCTAATGTTTTCATAGCAGTAGTGGCCTGCTGACGTAGGCTGATGACGCGTCCTGTGGCCACTCTACAGCTTACAACTGGTCTGTCGGGTTGATAATGGAAATAATAAATTAAATTTAATACATGTATCGTACTGTATTCAATATGATTAACAATAGTGTGTTCAAACAAAATATTTAATTAGATAGATTTTTTGTCCCCATTTTCCATTATCAACCCGACAGACCAGTTGTAAGCTGTAGAGTCAGCAGCCGCGGAGGCTACTATGAAAACATTCGCTTGTGGTTTCACAGGCGCAGTTGACTGCTTAAACTAAACTTTGCACGAAACTTTGACTCTTAAAACCCACATGTGACAAAACGGAACCATCAACATCTCGCCTCAAATTGCATTAAAAGTGACATTCGTGTCTTAATTTGTTCGTATTTTAACTTTAAATAAATTCACGGTCCGCACTCTTGTTATGCTTTGGCTGCCGTGAGACGCGCATGCGCAGGTTTGCATTACATCATAAACAGCTGAGGCAGTGCATCTCTTCAAGGCAGTGTATCTCGGCGTTACACGGGTCCCGGCTCAAAAGTGGCCAAAATGATGTGCGCTGACATGCTTGCAATACCACCCCGGGCCGATGGGGGTGGACCCGGAATAAGAATTAGCTAACATATAGCATTGGCAGACCTATCGAAAACGTCTTTACAGGATGGTCCAAAATTTGGCTCTTGGCCCAAAGCTCCGTTCCACGTGTGTGTCAATGCTGAGGGGAGTGAATTTTTTTGGACCACTCTAGTTTACTTGCTGTGAATGGGCTATATGTACGGGCAGGCGTGACGTCATTTCCTGTTAACAAAGATCAGCCCGTTCACTTCCTGCCTATGGCTTTTAGGTGGGTTTTAGTGACGTTTTTTAGTAATTAGATTGGTACATTCAGCTGTGAGACTGACCCAAAAGTGCTTTCTCTCTGAGGTAGAGCTTTGACTGTGGCCACTCAGAGAGATTTGTAAACTTTATAAAAACACAATGACAGCACAATCAAAGAGCACTGCTGTGTCCCAAAAATGCCCAGTATCCTCACATAGTAGGGTCAATATACTGCCCGCGTACCCACAACCCCCAAAAAAATAGCAAAATTTTGTTTTTTGTTTGTTTTTATTTTAGACTGGGTCTAGACTTTAACATACTAAAAGTTGGACAAAATCGGAGTATGGGAAAGTGTCGAATTTCAAAGATGTCTTGGGTTTACAAGTCATTTTCCATTTATGTGTGAAGCACCAACTCGGTCAGTTTTCATAATAAATCTATATATCTTGGTTTTTATCCAGGTTGTCAGGGTCAATCTTTCACATGAAAGGGTTACCAGTGATGCCAAATAAACCCTTATACCATATCTAGGGGTACCCCTACACCTAAACACCGTAACACCCCCACCCAGGTTCACAAACAGGCATATGGGTGATTATTTTTTAAATGGGTACCAGTGGTGAATTAGAACTTTCTTCTATTAATTGGGCCCCTTACCTTCATATACAAATGAAATTGTTCTATAGGGTATAGGATTTTTGAGAAAACAACTGAAAACCCCCCCAAAGTCTGATTCTCTTGGTAGTAGATGTCTTGCTATAGCTGTGTTGTTTATGTTAATAAATTGATGATGTCCGAGCACCAGAGGACAGTTTGGTCCATGTCTTCCACTGTGTCATCCGCTTACAACCTCGCCATGCAAGAACTTACCGCAAGAAGTTGTGCAACAAGTGAACAACATAAGGGTGAGAAGAGATGAGACAGACCTTGGGATAGTTGCAGAACAACTAGACAGCTTTAAACCATTTTCATGTGATGAATGGTTACGCATATTACCACAGGGATTAATGCCAATGAGGATGTCAATGTTCATTTTCGAAATCGGAAAAGACATTGTACAGAAGATGGATGGACAATCAGTCTTCTCCTACTGTCACAAACTAAGTTTGAAGGCTAGCATCGAGCAACAACATAAAGTTTCTGCAGATCATATCATTGACCCAGCATTCCAGAGGTTTATCGTGGTCTCACAGACTGGTAATCTAAGGCTGGATGATGTCATGTCCTATGAACCCTGTCTCTACCCGATGTCTTTGTTCGAAGGAAAGGGCATCTTACGTCAAACGAACAAACCGCAGCTCGCAGAGGATTTTAGAAATTATGTTCGAACAAAATCAGACAGTGCTGTGACGCAAACTGTTCCAGTCACAGAGCACAATGTACTAGATGGAAGGAAGATCTCTTCTTCACCGCCTGAAATGAAAGGAGGGGAGTACCTACAGCAGCAGCTCGATTGCAAACAATTTTGTCTCATTTACTGTTGAACACTGTGGGAGAGCAACTGCCGTGTTTGATGGTTACAAGGTTGGACAAAGTATTATATATACAATATACAAGGACTGTACTCATCAGTTGCAGAGTAAAAAGCTGAATCCAAAAAAGGTGAACATTACAGAGGTGACAAAATTTTCTGGGAAAAAAGAGGACTTCTTGTTGAATGGAACGAATGTGGCAGAAAGGCTGTGACGTTATTCAAGCAGAAGCAGATGCCGACGTTGAAATCGTGAAGGCAGCGATCAATAAGTCCGCTTTCAAATCAAGCACCCTCACTGGAGAAGACACAGATCTTCTTGTTCTCTTGCTGTTCCATGCATACAGTGGGGCAAAAAAGAATGGATGGATGGATGGACCGATTGTGCAAGTTCTCCCACTTAAAATAATGACAGAGGTTTGTAATTTTCATCAAACGGTACACTTCAACTGTGAGAGACAGAATGTGAAAAAAATGTGTGGAATTCACGTTGTAGGATTTTTAAAGAATTTATTTGTAAATTATGGTGGAAAATAAGTATTTGGTCAATAACAAAAATTCAACTCAATATTTTGTAATATAACCTTTGTTGGCAATAACAGAGGTCAAACGATTACTATTAACGGCTTATTAACCGAGCCGTGGCGAGGTCTGTGCAAAAATGCCAAGGTTTGATATTTCTCTGTACAGACCAAGCAAGCGAGGTTAATACATGTTTTATTATATGACTCTCGTCTGTGTCTTTACCAATGCTTTTGAGATATTTGTGAAGTATGTTCATGTCAGACTTGTGTGATGCGGGCTGTGGACCGATTGTCATGGTAGCGGTTTGTGGAAAGATATCAAATGTGATACGCGCTGTTCGGACCAATTATCATGGTAACGGTCCGAGATGGGAAAATATCAGACCGCAAATCAACCAATCAGAGCGCACGTACGGTCCAAGTCATATAATAAAGGTATTTACCAGGATTGCAAACACAGTAGCTGGTATTTTGGCCCATTCCTCCATGTTTCTGGGCTGTCGCCGAGCAACACAGACTTTCAACTCCCTCCACAGATTTTCAATGGGGTTGAGGTCTGGAGACTGGCTAGGCCACTCCAGGACTTTCAAATGCTTCTTACTCCTTTGTTGCCCGGGCGGTGTGTTTAGGATCATTGTCATGCTGGAAGATCCAGCAACGTTTCATCTTCAAAGCTCTCACTGATGGAAGGAGGTTTTGGCTCAAAATCTCACGATACATGGCCCCATTCATTCTTTCCTTAACACGGATCAGTCGTCCTGTCCCCTTAGCAGAAAAACAGCCCCAAAGCATGACATTTTCACCCCCATGCTTCACAGTAGGTATGGTGTTCTTGGGATGCAACTCAGTATTGTTCTTCCTCCAAACACGA